GCCTGGTTGGTAGTTGGATGGAAAACATTTTAACTATTAATTCTTTCAGTCCATTACCGTGTAATATCTTTTCATTTATTTGTGTATGCCTAGATTTATTTTATCATTGTACTATAGTCTTCAGTGTAAACATCTTTTTGGTTAAATTTATTTCTTCTAGCTATTTTATCCTTTTTGATGAAATTTGAAATGGGATTTTTCTTCTTGTTTTATCTTTCTGATTGTTAATTATTATTATTATTATGTGAAAACATTAAAGATGTCCTTACTGAAAATAAATTAGCCTGCTGTAAGTATTTGGTCAAGCATTTAATTAACTCACCCCTAATGCCTTGGCAGAGCCAGACCAAATGATTTCATGGGCCTTATATGACCTGTGGGCAGAACATTCACCACCCTTGCTTTAAAACAACAAATATTTTAGGAATAAATTGTGTCACAGCTACTGATAAAGGAAGCAGTACACCAGAAAGAAACAGCAATTCTAAATCTGTTTGCATTAAATATATTGCCTCAAATTTTATAAAGCAAAAACGGAGAGAATTATAAGTTGATACTAATAAATCTATCATCAGTGGTAAGTTTTAATACAACTCTCCATGTTGATAGCAAAGGCAGACAAAAATTAAAAATGTAGATTGGCATGACACAATTTTTATTAAAAAAAACTTGAATTAATATGCAGGGTAGGGTAAAAGTAGGTTTACAGTTGGGAGCATGCAAAACAGTTTATTTTGTATTAATTATTAATTATTAATTATTAATTATTGTTATGTTTTCCATATAAACAACTGTAAACCTACTTTTGTCCCACCTTGTGTGTAGAATTCTGTGTCCAATAACTACAAAAACCTGTTCTTTAAAAATATACATATATCATTTAGCACATTATTTTATCATAATGCAATAAAATTAGAATTCCCAGAAACAAAAAGTTAATAAAAAGAATACACTTGAAATTAAAAGAAAGTATGTTATAAAATCAGTAGGTGTAATATCACCCTATTTGGAGAAAAATAGTATCTATGTTATGCATTGGAGGAAAAAAGGTTGGAAAGAACCACTAAAAATGGTAAGTGTTTCTTGCTTGTCTTAATGATTTTTAGTTTTGCTTTATTTTTATTTTTTAAAAAGAGTGTTTCTTGATTTTTAGAGAGAGAGGAAAGGAGAGGGAGAGAGGTAAACATCTGTGTGAGAGCGAAACATGGATTGGCTACCTCCTGCATGCCCCCAAGCAGGGATCAAGCCCACAACCCAGGCATGTGTCTTGACTGAGAATAAAATTGGCAACCTTTTGGTGCACTAGAGGATGTCCAAACAACTGAGCTACACCAGCCAGGGCTTTGCTTTATTTTTAAAGAGTTTTTCTGTATTGTTAGAACTTCCTGCTTGGAGTATGAAAGCATGCACTTTTTCTTAATTAGAAAAAAATTAACAAGGCATTTTATTTAAGATAACATGTGGCAGTAGTCTCCTAACTGGTCTCCCCATTTCCATTCTTGATTCCCAAGACACTCTTTTCCCTAAAGCACTAAGAATAAAATACAAATTTCCAAATGTTAGCCTGCAATGTTCTACATGACATTGCTCCAGACTACATTTCCAGACTTACCTCCACTCACACTCCCCAGGTTCACTCTGCTCCAACCACACTGGCTTTCATTTCCGTAAACTGTCCAAGTTTTTGCCAGTCTGATTATTCGTATTGCTACCCGGGCACCTAGAAGCCCCACTGTTCTCTTCCCCCCAACCCTCTCTTTGCCTGGCTAAATCCCAGGTCTTCATGTTTCAGCCAAAGTATTAAATCCTTAGGGAAGGTGGATTTTTGTGTGTGTGTGTGTGTGTGTGTGTGTGTGTGTGTGTGTGTGTCTCCCTTGGTTTCTCTGATAGATATTCTTAACGTACCTATTTTTTTCCTTCACAGCAGTAACAATAAACTTGAAAATATATGATTATGTGATTACTTGGTTATTGCTTGTCTCCTTTGCTAAACTGGTTTTTGTTGTTGTTCCTCATCCTCACCTGAGGATATTTAGTAAAGAGAGTGGAATGAAGGGGAAAGACGAGAGAGAGAAACATCAACATGAGAGAGACACATTGATTGGTTGCCTCCCATACTGGTCCCAACCAGAGCAGGGGATTGAACCTGCAACCTAAGTACATGCCCTTGACCAGAATCAAACCAGGAACCCTTCAATCTGCAGGCCAACAGTCTTATCCACTGAACCAAACCAATTAGGGCCTTGCTTAACTGTTTGCTCTGTGAGGATAGATCATATCTAATTTGCTATTGTTATATTGCCAGTTCCTAACATAGTGCTGAGTGGAAAGAATCCATAAATAAGTGAATGAATAAATTATAGAATCTTCACAAATTCTACTAGAAATTATGGAACCAAAAAATGAGGTAAAGAAGTTTGGGAAAGAGAAGGCTAATGATATGCCACAATTGTGGTTTTAACTTCCCATTCTGTTAAGAGCTAACCTTCATTGAAAAGTGCTGACAAGATAAATTTCTTTTTGCCTTCTCTTTTCCAACATTTGCTTTAGCAGACTATTCTTTTACAAAGGAAAAAAAAATACCATAAGTTAGCTTAAAGACAAAACAACATCGGCATCAAAGTTGTATTACTTCTGAGGCCAAGAACGCAGATAGTGAGCTAGGATGATTTGTAGATGGGTATAAATTAGTGCATCACATTCCATTGTCTTGAAGCTCTGTTTCATTATATAATTGATACAGTACCACATAACCAAAGCCCAATTCAAGTTGGCCTGGATATATTTTATCTTCACTTCCAGGGACAATTTATGCACATTCACTCAGCTTGAGTAATAGTGGTTTCTGTAATTTAGGCCAGTACACAGAAAAATATACATTTTCCCACTTATTGTTGCTTCTCTAGAGAAGAAAAATATTGGTTACTGCTTAGACTTGTTCAAGACTTTATATTTTAGGGTGTAATCTTAAATTCTTGAAATACATCCTTTAAAAAAAGATGCTAAGATAGCGAAATAGGAGGCTCTTTCAATCCTGCAAAATCATGGATTTAAATTCAGATACTAGCATCCTTTCAGTTAATCCTACCTTCAACTCTTTTTTAAAATGTTCTTTTAAACTGATTTTAAAGAGAGAACAAGGGAGAGAGAGAAACATTGATATGCACCTGACTGAGGGTATCAAACCCACAACTTAGGGATGTGCCCTGACCTGAAACTGAACCCATAAATCTTTTGGTGTATGATGACACTCCAACCAACCGAGCCACCCTCAACTCAACCGACACAGAAGAAACTCATGGTGGTAATTTCTATGTCAAATTCTTTGCAGGAGCTTAGTGTTTTAACACAACCACTTTTTCTAAAATCTCAGCCTTCCCCTTTGATTTGATCTAGTTACAAACTAGATGCTTGGTAGTTATCAATATAATTAAATGCAAAATATATCTGCTTGAGTATTTAGTTCCTTAATAGTTCACATAGAAGGAATAAATATCTTTCAGTTATTCATCTCCTTTCAAAATATACTCCCAGGTAACACCACAGTTCTATGATAATGTGTGAGGCCAAGTCACACAAGCTTTAAAATATAATTTATTCATAAATAATTCTGAAATAAACTTATACAATGCAATAGAGAAGAGCTAGGGGACACTGGCAAAATTCATAAAAATAGGTATGTCCAATTAAGAATGAATATAGAAATGAGAGAATAAGATTTGTAAATGCATCACATTTTTCTTTATATTCCTTTTAAATTTCAAGGATTTCAATTACTAAAGGTAAACATGGTATCCTAAAAGGTATTGATAATAATTATTAGTGCATAAAATGAAAAATATTTTAGTCTAATTAGAACCAAACATGGGCAGCTGGACTGATGAAGCCAAATAATACTGTGTGTTCAAGAGTATTTCTGATTCAAGTAAAACATGTGGTTAGCATGGTACATGAACTACTTATGATCCTTTGTTATTTGTATACTAGAGGCCAAGTGCACAAAATCTGTGCACTCGGGGGAGAGGTCCCTCAGCCGAGATTGCAAGATGGAGCAGGCCAGGCCGAGGGACCCCACCAGTGCATGATTGGGCCACGGAGGGATGCAGGAGGTTATCCACTTGGGGGGGAGAGGTTTAGGAGGGCTCCAGGGCATGTCCAGCCCATCTCAATCAGTCTCTATCTGCTGGACCCCAGCAGCAAGCTAACCTACCTGTCAGACCATCTGCCCCCTGGCGGTCAGGGCAAGTTATAATGAGCAGTGGAGCGGCCTTAGCATATCATTAGCATATTATGCTTTGATTGATTGAATGGCCGACCAAATGACTGGACACTTAAGATATTAAGCTTTTATTATACAGCATTTCAGAACACTAATGAGCACCTAAACAGAGACCGTTAGATCATTTAATCAGATCAATGAAAAGACAGCCAAATATACTTTTCTGGTAATAAGGCCAATTGCTATGCAATTGATTGTATCGTGGTATAATTAATTGGCTTAAGTTCTTAAGACTACTGAAATAAGTAGACCATTGATTTCATGGTCTTAGCTCAATTATTTAATTGACCATGTAGTAGTCTAATGGTTAACCTATAGCCATTAACCTATGAGAAAGCAATATTTTCTACCAGAGTAGCAGAAATTACTGTAAATGATCAGAATCCTATATAATAAAAGCGTAGTATGCAAATTGTCCCCTCAACCTGGAATTCTTCTGGGAATTTGATTAGGGGACAGTGCCGGCCAGGGGAAAGAAGGGAGGACCTGGCAGCAACAGGTGGCTGGGGGAAGGGAGGGAGTATCCAGCTGGCTTCCACCAGCTGCTAGGAACCAGTGTACAAATTTTATTCACTAAGCCTCTAGTATTAGTATAATTGTATTAAGGCCCTTCCTGAAGTATGCTGGAATAATAAAGAGAAAAGAGAAAACATTAACCATTTTTTAATTTTTTTTTTAAATCAGGACTATTTTGTCATGTTTCTCCCTTACTGATGTAATTTCAGAAGAAATTAACAAAATCCAACTCTCTTTTCAAAGTTACAGTGACTTCAAGAGTTTCAGTTTCCAGGATATAGAAAGCTTTGGCACTGTTACAATCCACAGGATGGGGAAAGTTCAGCAACAATTTCCTAAACAAAACAAAACAAAAACATAGGATCAGCTTCCTAAAGTGATATAAAGAAGACAACATTTTTAAGAAGGCAATGAGGAAAGCAAGTTATACCATTAGAACATTAGAAACAAACAAAAAACACACACTTATATTTAGACAGTACAAGTACTGGATCAAAAGTATGCCGACAAATAGTATGACAGTTTTTTGGCCTCAAAAACCCAAGCAATGGTTTTGATCCCCCCTCTTTTTTCTAAATTGACTTCATTTTGTATGATATAAACATAGTCTCAGGCTATATTTATAGACATAAAAATAGAACCATTGCCACCTTTAAGTTGGTTGGATAGATTTGTTGACAGCCATACTTATGTGTGTATGGGATGTGGCTAGCTGAAACAAATCTAGAAATTGGAATGGTTCCACAAGAATTCTGCTAACACAAATTTAGGCTTAGTCTCTAAGGCTTGGAATGATTTTAATACCAGATCAATGAGAGTGCTTCTCTCTGCTTGTTTCTGGTTCTTTCTACTATGCATTAACAAAAAGTCTCAGTGAGGGATTGCTGGGTTTATTTTGCAGTGGATGGCTTGTTGCTGGATAGCTCCATGCTTTAGATGCATTGCTGGTATACGACATCCATAATTCTGCCATAGTGATATGAATGTAAATTATGCAAAGGGTTGGTACATGCTACATGCTGGTATCTGAAGAAAATTAAATGCATGAAACAATTGTTACCTCACATTCTCAATAGAGAATGATTAAATATCTCTATAAAAGAGTGGACAGAAAAGCTATTTTACAAGGTATAAGATCTAAAACAGCAGGAATTTTGATATTTTTAAGAGTACTTATTGAATATTTGTATAAAGAACTAGTATTTGGCCCTATCTGGTTTTGCTCAGTGGTTAGAGTGTCAGCCTGTGAACCGAAAGGTCCCAGGTTTGATTCTAGTCCAGGGCAAATACCTCAGTTGCAGGCTCTTCCCTGGCCTGGGCCCTGGTTGAGGCACATGCAGGAGTCAACCAATTTCTGTGTTTCTCTTACATTGATATTTCTATCTTTGCCTCTCTCTTCCACTCTCTCTTTAAAAATCAATTGAAAAATATCCTCAGGTGAGGATTTTTAAAAAAAAAACAAACTAGTATTTGAAAACAAAAACCTTGAATATCAATTGCTTCTTTACCAATTTGAAGACCTAAATTCAGGACATTGGACTCATTAAAAGTATTTATGACACATTTACAGAAGCTGAAGAAGAAATTTTATGTGACATTTATTTTATTCCAGATATCTGGGATAGGAAAACCACCTCCTTTCACCTTAACTAATGAAATCATGAGGTATTTTACTATAGCCCTTAATATTTGATATCTCAAAAAAGTAAATGCAGAAACATTTAGAGTCCATCTTTTTAAAGTTGTTAACAATGTAAGTTGTGCTACAGTTAGATTTGCTTTATCCCTTATTCTACAAATTATAATATATTCATTTTATAAAGAAAGCAAAGTTCAGTGGTAGTAGCTTCACTGTACTAAAAGACAACTATAAATCAGCTGAAGAATGAGTTCCAATGACAATATACACTTCTCTCTTCAGAGAGAAATTAATTTTAAAAAGACAGTTAGTGGCCATTGGAATGATCCATCTATCCTTGCATTTCTATCTAGTTCTTAGTAGTATGGCTTTACATACTACAATTTTGAATAATAGAAACTGTGTAACTTATTTAGACTCTTAAGAGAATGAAAATATTTTTATATAATCTGGTTTAGTGTCTGGATATCTGAACTGAGATTTATATTTAAACAAAGCAAAATATTTCCAAATACTTAACCATTGAAGGATAGGAATGTATCTTATCTTGGTGTCCTCCCAGTGTCTAGCAGAATAGTTTATAAATATTTGTTGAGTGAATAAATAAATGAGTGAAAAGCAAACTGGTCATCACAAAGTGACATTTGAATAACTACTATAGATTAGTACTATAAAATGGGAACAAACATTTAAACCCAAATACCTCTGACTTTATATCGATAATATATTTGAATTTTGAGAAGCCAAAGTTTAGACACTGATCAGATATTTATCCAATGCCAATTTTCATTAGGAATTATTTAAAGGCAGACAATAATATATGAAAATTTAAAAAATCATCTATACAATGAACATTAGAGACTTGCATGCTCACATTTATAATGGAGAATTCAAGGTGATGTTGCTTGCAAGAGATATACATAAAGGACAATCTTGCTCTGTGCATACTTACATAATGCAATTTTTATTTTATAGTAGTTAATAAATGCTTTGATTTACCTATCTGTGTAAAACACAGACATGGCCTTTTTTATTTTTAATCCTCACTCAAGGATATTTTTCAATTGGTTTTTAGAGAGAATGGAAGAGAGAGGGTAAAACAGAGAGAAATATCAATGTGAGAGAAATACATCCATTGGTTGCCTCCTGCACATGTCCTGACCAGGGCCTGGGCCAAGGAAGAACCTGCAACTGAGTACATGCACTTGACTGGAATAGAACCCAGGACCCTTGCTCTATCCACTGAGCCAAACAGGTTGGGCAAGACATGGCCTTTTTAAGGTTTCCTATTGGAGATAAGATATAACAATTTTCAAAGAAAGTACAGAATTAGCTACTGAGCTGCAATTCACTATTCTATTTAAAAACTTTTTAGGTATTGATATCATGGAACATCAACTAAAAAGCTTAATTAAAGTAGCAGAGCAAAGGTGAAAATAATCTAAAGCAGCATTCAACTAAAATTAACTTATACTTGTCTTTAGAATGTGTCTTTATTATCATGTTCAAGGAATTCAATTATGATATTCTTAGAATTCACTTAAAAAATGAGTGGTATACATACTTACATCTGACAAAAAAGACCTCAAAGTGAAAGCTGTAACACAAGATTAGGAGGGCCAGGCCACTTCATACTACTAAAGGAAGCAACTCAACAAGAGGATATAATTCTGTAAAACATATATGCACCCAATACAGGAGGACCCAAATACATAAGGGGGAAAAAACACCTGGAAGATATCAAGGAAGAGATTGACAGCAATACAATCATAGTAGAGGAATTTAATATCCCGTTCACAACACTGGATAAATCCTCTAATCAAACAAACCAAAAAAATCATAAAAAAACAGATATCCTAATTGACTCACTAGATCAGATGGACTTAATTGACATCTACAGAACATTTCACCCCAAATCCACAGAATATACATTCTTCTCAAGTGAACACAGGACTTTTTAAAAGATATATCACATATTAGGACACAGGCAAAGTCTCTTCAAATTCAAGAAGACTGAAATCATGTCAAGCATCTTCTCAGGTCACAATAGCATAAAATTAGAAATCAACTACAATAAAAAGTCAAACACTTGGAAGCTAAGTTGCATGCTATTAAACAATGATTGGGTTACCGAAGAGATGAAAGAAGAAACAAAAAGCATCCTGGAAACAAATGACAATGAAAACACAACAATCCAAATTAGACCCAGTGAAAGTAGTCCTGAGAAGGAAATTCATAGCTCTACAGGCCTACCTCAAAAATCAAGAAAAAATGGAAACAAATTATCTAACCCTGCAACTTAAAAAATTAGAAAGAGAGCATCAAGAAAATCCCAAAGTAAGCAGAAGAAAGGAAATAATAAAGATCAGAACAGAAATAAATGACACAGAGACCAAAAACAACAACAACAAAACAACAACAACAAAAACACAGATGCAAACAAATAAAAACAATACAAAAGATCAATAAAATCAAGAGCTGGTTCTTTGAAAATATAAACAAGATTAATGAATCTCTAACCAGGCTCACTAAGAAAAAAAGAGAGAGAACCCAAATAAAATAAAATCAGAAATAAAAAAGGTGAAGTAACAACCAACCTCACAGACATAAAAAAGAATTGTGAGGAGAGAAACCAAGATGGTGGCCTCACACAACAATTTCAAAACTACAATTAAAAGACAAAATGGACATCATCCAGAACCACAGGAAAGCTGGCTGAGTGGAAATTCTACAACTAGAAGGAAAGAGAAAAGCACACTGAGACTCAGAGGAGCTGCAGAAGGCAGAGGTAGGAAGACACAAGCATGGAGAGGACTGGTGGCTGAGTGCATGGCTGGCTTTCTCAAGCAGGAGAGAGACAGAAGCTCCAGACTGCACTGAACTCCAGTTCCGAGCGAGACCCTAGAGATCCAGATTCATACGGGGGAATCTGGACTGTCAGGAAAAGAGAAAAGCACACTGAGACTCAGGGTAGCTGCAGAAAGCAGAGGTCTGGAGATGCGTGTACACAGAGAAGACTGACTGCTGAGTGTGTGGCTGGATTTCTCAAGCAGGAAGGAGACAGAAGCCCTCTACTGTGCTGAACTCCAGTTCTGGGCAAGACTCTGAGAACCCAAACTCATTCAAGGAGAAACTGGACTGTCCGGCAGCAGGTGGAACTTGAGGGTGGCTTTCTCTCAGAGGTGCTGCAATGATTACTGAGGGACACTGAGACCCAGGGGCCTCATAGGTTAAGGCTGATGAGAAGCCATGGCTGTCTGGTCCAACCTAAGACACAGCCTCATTCAAGCTGAGCACATCCAGGCTTTTGCAATTTTGCAAATCTAGTCTCATAAAGGTTTCACCAGCATAGAAGTTCTCCAGTCACAGACACAGCTGATCCTCACAACCAATTTGCCTGGAGGTCAATTCCTCCCTGGGATACCAACAACAAACAAGACTTAACTACTGTAACAAGGCTGTACACATAGTTCACAAAGGGGTGAACCAAGAGTGTCCACATCAGGTAACTGGGGAGGCTAAACCACTGGGCCCTATAGGACACCTAGCATAAAAAGCTACCCTACCAACTCAGGGAAGCAGCAAAAATGTGGAGACAAAGAAACAGATCACAAACGAAAGAAATGGAGGAAAACAAATGATTGTATATAAAGTTCAAAACCACGATTATAAGGCTTTCCAAGAATTTCCTAGAAA